GGGAAAACATGAGACCAAGCTCACCTTAATTAAAAAGTATGGCCTTTTTAGAGAGGGTAAAAAAAGGCATGAATATTTTAGTGGCTCTCACTCTCAGTCTAATTTATACCTGAATGCATTAACGCTGCAAACTGTCAAGTGCGTGGTCAAGACTGCCAAAAATTGACAGAGAGGAAAATGATGAGTTAACGAATTAGGAGGATTCAATTGAGTGCAGCTCCTTTGATTGCGTTTGTTCTACTCCAAAATAAGTCCCTTTGTCAAGCCTTTGGATTATTTTGTGCTGGATTTAAGGCTTCACTTAACTGAGTTGATCCACAAAGTGATTCCAAGTACGTCGTCTTGAATTTGCAATGCAAAAATTGGTGGCATTGTTAATGCCTGGTGGAAATGTCTCCCCCTCGGTGTACCCACAGCCTTGTGGGGGCAGAGTGATTGGGAGGAGCTTCAGGACAAATGGAGGGTGGACTATTTAGTGGGCTCACTGGACGGTAGGTTCTGTGACTCATGGTAGTACTGTCTCAGGCCTTCCATATGGCGACCGCATCAGGGCGCCGAATGGGCTATCAAAGTAGCCAAAATGTGGGTTAAAAGATGGTGAAAAATGTAATTGCCAAAATGTGTGACAAGTTTATTGTTAATTGCAAAAAAAAAACACACACACACAAAAATCAACTCCATTCCTCCAAGCAAAGAGAGACTAAAGAATAAAATTTTTACGACTTCAGACCTTTGCTTTACAACTCCTAAGAAGGGTCAACAATGAAAAGGCGTTCATTACTTACCCATTTTTGGTAATGTGGAAACGATACGAACCGACTTAACCCATCCCGGAGGCAGCATTCACCTCTCATTTAACCAGTCGATTTCCTAGCTTTGAACAAAAAAAAAAATAGAGCAACTATTTGTTGTGAGGTAATGATGCATTTTAGAGGTTCCATTACCTAACAAAATCTGGTGATTGCAACATTCATCTGAATGTTTGCTGTCATCCCAAGTAGATCACATGTCGTGAGGTGAATGAGATTCTCTAATTGTCCCCTGCTAATGCACCTCGAATGACCACTTGTGCTTAGGATAAACAGTCCCAAGTGTGTCAACTACTTTCCCATCTAAACGCTTATTCCTCGATCCTTGGGGCACGAAAGACAACAGTTCGCATGACAGGCGAGGGAAGATAAAGGGAGGCGTCAAAAGCATGTAATTCCGATTTGCAGCATCTTATTAGGGTTTCAATGAATTATTTATTTAAGTGCAGACCTTAAATGGTTTATCCAAACTCGAAATCATTTTTCAACTAAGCAGTTGAAGGGACAACCTGGGTTGAAGGGGAGCCCTTCCCGCCCTCATGAGATATTCCACGGAATGGGAAGCGAAATAAAACCCTTTAACCAAAAAAATTGGGCCTTTAACACAGGGGTTAGAAATAAGGACAGATAATGCGACTATAAGGAAAGACATTCTCTCACAGTTGCAGGAATAAACTCACCAAATTTGAAGAGGCACAAGAGATCTTAGTAAGTATTAAAATATTATTTCTGACCAGGTAGAAAGGAAGGAAAATCGTTCCACAATTTAAATGTAGTTTTGACCGGTCCTAAAAAAATGTAATTGAATTTCGTAGCGTGACCACGGACAACATTGGCATCCGGTGAGCTTTGTCATATGCTACCACCGACTTCGTTCCACCCACTTGGAGAGGTGGGCAGAAGTGACACATTCAAGGAAATGCAATTTCACTTCTTCTGGTGCGCACTATGCCTTTTGCTTCGATAGATGCCCAGCGATAAAAAGTGGGAATTCTTCTATTGCCATAATTGCTTTCAAGCAAAGACACCGAAGAATATTTTACGCCTGCCGTGAGAGAATGAGTGAATTTTTGTTCACATGATGCTATAAATTAACTTTCTTAAAGAGTCTCAAAAGCTGCATTTAATTTCAAGCTACTGCCCGATTAACTGATTCATGCATGAAGAAATTTTGTGCAGGAAAGCCCGCAAAGGAGCTACACGTGCTGCTTTTTTTCGTTTTTATGGCTTCATTTTCCAGTCCTAACCTCATCTCAATGCAAGTTGTTGGAGTGAAGTATCACACACTTGCATGACGTAAGTTAAATTTGCCGTTTAAATATAAATGCAGATGGGCCATAAAAGCTAATTGACTATTGAGGTTGTCCCACCTACCACAACTTAATCGCCGATGTTTACAACCTGCTGGTCATCCATATGCTTCACCTTCAGCACCAGAAGGCTGTAAATTATATTCACTGACTTTTACACAAGGTTATCAGTGCGAAAAAACAATATATTGGGAGGAAATAACATCCTATAGTATAGTAACAGTAATACATAAAGTACTCCACCTCAAGACAACATGTGGCGATTTATTTGGTACCTTAAGACTTTCTTGAAGTTACCAAATGTATGATATTACTGCAGTTACATTGCCTTAACTATACGGGAAGAAGATGAGAATGCTTACACGGCTTAGGGACTAGGCCATCTGAGAAAGGAAGTGCGCCACCCAAGTTACCGTTACCGGAACCGGTAGCAAAATAAACAAATTATTACACTGCTACTTCTAAAACCTGACCATCAACTATTCTCAGAATTATCTATCGTATCAACAAAACATGCTTAGCTTCGACAGAGTGGAGGGCGTAACACTTTTCTATATGATAACCTGCATGTCTGACGGCTATATGAGGCTTTGTCTTGTACTTGTATGCGTAAGTAGGACTTAAGGCCTAGTCAAAGCTAATCTCTCACTCTTCCTTTCATATACGCGTATACAACCCCAGCATAATGCTTTCGTCCACATGGCGGGAGGTTCCAGAACGCTACTAGGGCTTCTGAAACCAAGTATCATGCTTTAGTAGCACCTGTTCAAGCGTTTGCGACTCCTGGAAATCAAGAAGGCAATGTCCAAGCACGAATCTTTAATAGAATGATACAAAATTTATTTGCATGCGGCTAGCTTGATCTGCCAATAAGTGGCTATAATGTTTTGTTTATGTGACTACCTGACGTTCAGCAGTCACTTTAGGATTTGTCTTGACCTTGCACTCGTGGGCTGGCCTTTGGGTAAGCTCAGGTTTAATCCCATTGTTCCTTCCGAAATACGTCCGTCCGGCACTGCTTAATGCATTCCTCCCCCTATAGGAAACCTCAGGGCGCTAAAATGATGGACCGTACCGTTTGCTGCATGTACCTACGGTGTAGAGGAGGCACAGTTACCTCGGTGGCGGAAGAATTCCTGAATTCCTCACAACGAAAGGGTTTAGATTGACGTCTGCATTCGGTTCACCTCATTTCCGCGCTCCACAGACAAGTTATTAACAACTGAAGCGACATCGCCGTGAACCTCTGGGAAAGTTTCTTGTTGGAATTTCTCCTACAGAACCCGTGTTTAGGTGTCGGTATTGACATTGAGCTTCGCCTTATATGCGGGACAGTGGCTCATCCTGTTTTCCCTGTAACATATCTGTTTATGACCAGATTTCCACCGTCTGGTTCTGGAAGCAATTGTGGTCAACAGGTGTATGCGGCCCCTAACCTGGATGCCAGACGGAACGTAACTCCAGATCCACTTGAAGCTGTCGAGGAGATCAGGTATGGTTCCTCAGTCTCATACCATCTGTCGGCTGGCGTGGTCGGCTAGTGGGTGCTTTCATGTAGAACCGAATATGCTGTGATGGCTGGTGCCTTGGGTGTATCAAGGGGGAGCTTCGTGGCCTCCAGGCCATGCTCAGGTACATTTGCTCTGTTCTCCTCGAAATACATGTATTCAACTCTCACTTACTGCCTTCTTCCACCCTATGGGAAGTCTCGAGGCGCTACAGTCGCGTCCTGTTTTGTTCGTGTGTTTACTGTTGGCAAGGCTTAGACCCGCTTCGTTATTTACGTAAGTTGGACTGGACTTCTAGGATTACCAACAGCCCAAATGCCCTTGTTACCACTTGAGTAAGTGATTGAGGAAACCTTGAAATCCTAGGTCTAATATACGCCAATATGCTTGTGTCTGCCTCTATAGTGGAGAGGAAGAAAGCAATTCGAACACGAATCCAGTTAGTAAGGAGAGTGAATAAATCTTTTTAGATTGACGTCAGATGTCAGTCCCATCAATTGCCCCTCCTCATCTCCTTTCGTTCTGTGCATAATTCCTAATAAAGTTTCCTCAACTAATCTTCTCCTGGTGTCACAGGAGGTAGTGTAGAGAGGTCTACACTAGAAGTATAAGGGCTACTTTAACTGTGCAATTTTAATATTAATGACAAGTAATCATTATTTGCCTGCTTATTACGAATGATAGTTATCATCCGACTTATTTTGCTCGATTTATTTGCCAGACTTAGTGGCCAATCTATTGATCTGTTCCAGCATACATCAGAAATCCTTTCAACGCATTGGCATTCCCCCCAGTGTTTCTTACTTGTCTAGGCAAGTTGGGTTATCTTTTATCATATGATAAAACGGCAACATTGGTGTTTTACAGAATATATGTTAACACCCCTGTTCTGAAATGTTTTTTTTGTTTTAAGGTTTTTATTTGATTGGTTGGAATTATTTATGTTCGTTACTTGTGTGCACATCTGCACGCTACAAAGTGTAAACAGATCGCGTTCTATCAAACCTCAATGATGCTGTGTTAAACTTCATGTAAGTTTTCCTAAATGGATGATTTTCTCCATATTTTGGCATTCATTGTGCAGATTAATGCTTTTTATCTCACCATAGATCCAATTTTTATTATTATTTTGTCTTTTGGGCTGCTTATATTGATGTTTTTAAGTAGTGCATATTAGGATAGTTTGATTTCTCAAATTAGGGCTCGAAAGTTCGAAATGAGATTCATGTACTGCTTCGGGTCCTCTTTTGAAACTCGCGATCTCTTCACTTGTTATAATTGATATTTTTAGACAGTTTTGTAATTCTCCTGCAATGCCAGTCTTTCATCTCCATGACAAGTCCGTAGTTGTGCATGTTAACAAAAGCTGGAGCATGCTCTTTCTCAAGCAGCTTGTATGCTCCAAGCTTGATTGTGATCCTCACACCCACTTTCTTGCCTATCATGGAGTTCAACTTTCTGATTGGGATGTGGTCTCTAGTTTTGATTTTATTGCTAATAATGATGCTTCTGTTGATGTTCTTCCACGCAGTAGCATCAACAATTGCTACGTCCTCTGCTATGACTGCGATAACGTTACTCCCGCTGTTTTTGCCACTGTTTGTGAGAAATGCGCTTCTCTCAAATTTGAAGTCTTAAATGGCATTTCCAGCCCCCAAATCCGAACTGTGAGTGGCACTTGCATGGACTGCGGTTGCACTTCATCCACAGTTTTAATCAGCTGCTCAAATGATGCTACTCACAGTCGAACTATATTTCTGAAACAAGTAGTTCGAAACTTTGATCACTTGATATGCATTGCATGCTGTAGTGAAGCTACTGAAGTCATTGTTAAATTTTGTGAAAATCGTGGACACATTCTTTGCTTAGATTGCTTCCGCACCTACGCTGAAAGCTATCTATCTGATGCCAAATTTGTGCTCGTTCCTGACATTGGTTATACTCTTCCTTGTCCACTTGGATGTCCGAAGTCTTACATTGCGGATACCCATCTCTTTCGTGTCCTCGGTAGAGCCTTCTACTCTCGATACAAAGAGTGCGCCGCCAGGTTCTTCTGCTACACAGAAGGTTGTATATCCTGTCCAAACTGCGGAAACTTTTGGGAAAGAAAAGACGATCTCGATCTTAATTCATGGATCACTTGTGAAAAGCCATACGGCTGTGGAGTCGAATTTTGTTCCCGATGTCGGAATATTGCCCCTGAGGTGGGTACCGCTTCTCAATGCACATGCGCATTTGGTGAATCACTTAGAGAGCAATCTCTTGGTGACCAGATTATCCGTCGTGGAATAGCTGGTGCTTGGAACGGTGTCAAGTTTAATTCTTCAGATTTGGCTACTTATTCTCTCATCTCGGTGACCTGTAAGTGCTGCCCATGTTGCTTCAGTCAAACTAATAAGGACGGTGGTTGCAATCATATGATATGCACAATTTGTGGTTCTGAATGGTGCTGGATATGTCGCTCCTCTTGGTCCAGAACTTGCCAAACTAATCATTGGTTTTAATCAATTTATTGACTTTTAACTCTTATTTTGATCTGTTTTTTAAATATATGCTTTTTACACATCTTTCTTGTCTTTGTAATCGGGTATTTTAGAGTTTGTACACTCCTCTACTCCCATTTTTCTTCGAATAAAATCTACCTTTCCTCTTTTGACAGCATCTAATTATTTGACATTGGATTGCTCGTGATTGTGCATAATTAGTCAAACCACACAGGCCGTATATTTGCTAAGAACCTCACGCCTATTCATTACCATAGCTTCTATTATTGACACTTCTTTACAGCGTTTTTTGTCAAGACATGCCAACAGGCCATGTGAGGGCTCCTCTCATTGTTCCTCTTCGACTTCCAGTCGAGGGTCAATACAAAAATTCAATTGACAGTTCTACACAAGTGGAAATCTCCACTGACACACCGTTGGCGCGAGTCTACTTCACGATTGATGGATCTAGACCAGATCCCACTTCGTGGAAGCCTCGTCATCCGCAGCCTGGCCCAACTTACCATTTTCAAAAGCCATTCACTCTTTCACCTGGTGTGAAAACCATCAAGGCGATCGCTTTCATCCCGTCAGTGACATCCAGTTTCTTTTACTGAAGTCATTTCAGTGGCGTTATTTTTTCGCTATCACGAAAACTATTTAATGTGCTTATGTTGCAGTGATACTAATCAAGAAAGTAACGTTGTAACGAAGACTTTCGATGTTCTGGCGGCTACAGAAGAAAGTGCTGATGGCAATGAACTATGCCCCAGATCTGTTGATTATGATTTCCTTGACGAATTTAAAGACGATAAGACGAAGGTCATTTCCTCCAACTTTATATTTTATTGCTAGAAATATTTCTTTTTCCTTTCAAATAAACTTGTCCGTTCTTCTGCTTCTTTTATAGACACCAGCTAGAGATGCATCGCGTCCGTACAGTTCCTTGTCAAGTCGAAAATCCTCGTCTGTTAGCAAGAAATCAAGTTGCATTTCAAAGTCGAAAAGTGGTAAATTTGCTTAGTCGATTTTTCCTCTCATAGATCTAATTGCATTAAAATTCTTTCTGAGACTCGTCAAATCTCTCTTCTTTTTAACTAGTAATCCGTTGGTTGTGACAACCTCCCGGCATTTTTCTGTCTGGGGTTATCGCTTTTGCTTGATGTGATTCGGCTCAGGCGCCTTGAAGTAAATTGAGAATGGGATTGTGTGTCTATCCATCCGTGCTGTGCAGTTTATTTGTGCTTGATTTATTTGTTGACGGCTCTCTGCTTCTCCTGCTCCTATTTCCTTACAAAGCTTTGCGACAAGATTTGGTTTCTGGGTATAAAGGTCGTCATTCACTTTGTAGCTTCCTTTCTGCCCTACCGACAGGCGCTTTGTGGTGTAGAGCGACTCCTATTTATTTTCTAGGCATTCCGTCCATTTCCCCCTTTCATTTCCGTTTTAGGCGAGAACCATGAGCAATACAGCTCGCTTGCGGTAAGAGGTTCCTTTTTTGTTAGAAATACTTAAAACACTGCTTAGATTTCGTTTAACTTTGGAAGTTCACTGAATTGCTTTTGTCGAATCTAAAATGAGTATTCTAGGTTTTGGATTCGACCACATTAGTGAAATAAAGGCGATCAACTTCCCGTCAAGATGGAACTAGGCCTTTTCAGTTTGCAGCTAATACTGTAACCCTAGAGTGGAAGATGTGGAGGAGAGCTCGGTCAAAACTGTAACATTCAGAGGCCCTCCCGAAATTCACGCATTCCAAAAAGTTCTGTAATCGCTTGGTTGGAAAAGAAAACTGCAAACAATATGGATGCTATAGCATTTGCTACTAGGACGTAGCTTGAATGGTTGTTCATTATGGTTACTAACTAGAAATGTTTGGTTCCTTTTTTAAGCAAGGAAAAAATATTTCGAAAAAAGGTAAGACGGTCCTCAAATACCTAACTCTTCGTAGACGAAAAGAAAGTGGAGAAAAACTACAAAAAAGTTGCGGTGAGTTTGTATTCCTTATGTTATAATTGCAAACTATTTCTAATGCCAGTTTAGCCTTATTTAGTCAGAGAATGATCATTGTCTTTTAAGTATTGCTGCGCTAAATGGAATGAAAGTAGTTTAAACCTTTTGGATCGCTCGTGCACTAGTTTGTTTGTTTCAGGACCTCCAATTTTTACACAAAGGAGAACTGGTCATTGTACTCGTATTGGTCTAATAATGTGCAGACACACTCCTTTTGGCCAGTTTTGCTTGGGCTTAATGCGTTCTTGTATGCATCACCTCTTTTTGCATTTAGGATATCGGCCAGAGTTCACCCTCCTCACGATCACCTGATGGGAGATTTACCAGGGTCATGGAGACAACTGTAAGTGAACAATATTATATTTGGGTGCATTGCGTACGTTTAAACTGCTCTCTTAGTTGAGAACTAAATTTTTTTTTTCGTATTATAGCCACAAAAGGGGAACCGAGTTTCCATGGTTTCCGATGAGGAGGACAAACCCAAGAAAGCGCCATCAAAATTGCACTTGTACCGTAGTAATCGATTGCAGAGGAAAGTTGACATTTTCAAGTGCGTCTCCAGTCGGAGTGTTTACTATAGTTTGCTACTAGGGTTTAGTTTTAAATTTCATTTTTGATATGCTATCAGCTGCCTTTGGTTTTTAAGTGTTATGTTGGTTTTTACTTAAATTATATAAGTAGCAATTATTGTTGCGGTTGTGAAGCTGCCCGACATGCTTGGCCTCAAGACCGATTGACAATGACGCAGCTTTCTGCTCGACATGTGGCACATCATTGCCACGACTACCGAGTCCCATCATCTCTTCAACTCAGATGGTTGCGAATTCGGATGTCTGCACCATCTGTGGTTCTAGAATGGTGGTTAATACCACTAAGTGTCTGGTCTGCGAATCACCCAAGGCTCGCGTCAAAAAGGCATTGGTGAGTGCATTCCTCATATATGACAGACTGACACCTAGGGAAAATGTTTTGGACTCATTCTCTGGGTAGATCGGTGAACCGGATAGTATGGATCGTCGGCTATGCTCTGCCTGTGGTTCTCTCAACCCAACTCGAGTCAAGTATTGTCTGACCTGTGAGGCAGTTCTTCCTCTTACTGCAGCCAATCTGGTAAATATCTCCCCTCTTCTCCGTAAGTCACCAAACTCGCCTCCTCCTCCACCTACCTCCACCAATACAACTTCCTCCAATCGGATGGCGGCAAATTGCCGAATCTGCTCGAGGCAGAACTCATTGGGTGCGCGGTTCTGTGACTGGTGCGGCATTCAGAATCCTTGTGATGTAGACCTAGCTAGTCACCTCCAGAGTTGCGCAGTCTGCCCCAAGTGCTTCTGGCAAACACCACGTGACTCGCGTTTCTGTTCTCAATGTGGATTTAGTTTTGCTGGAGCCTCAGAATCATCCTCCATGTACGAATACTCACTGGGTAAGCTGCCATTTGTGAGGTGAGTGGAGTGCTTTCATCTCTGAGGCCATTCATTATTATAACATTGGACAGTGTGGATGATACCTTAGTTTTAAGGTCCTGTACAAAAAGAAAGTAGTCACTATTTGAATCTCATTGACACACCGATTTTGTAGTGTTACTTATAGGCTCATACACTTATAAGATTTCGGAACTATCCTCCATGCCCTATTGATTTGACGAAAAGCCAGGTATTTTGTATACATAGGACACAGTACCCATGTTCCTGGGTCAGAAAATCACTCCATGCTCTCAATAACGCCGCGTGCCAACAGATCAGTATCCACCCAAACCGTGGGATTCTTCTACCCCCGAGGAGGTCATGACAAACCTCCCAAACTTCCCGACCGGCCTATCAAGAGTCTAACCAGATCACGACCCCATTTGATGGGTTTCGTTAGTCCTGGCAAAGGTATGTTCACAACGCCTAGCTTTGATCTACAGTACGATCATGCTCAACAGTAAGAGGTATTCTCGTAGATCATAGAATTTTGGTAGGAAATGCGTGACTATGTCCATACTCAAGCAACTCCTCCGATATCATGCATGTAATTTTGTCCTTTTTGAGGCTGTTAAGGAAGAATAAGAATAGTCCCAATTCATCTTATAATCACAAATCTAAACAATGTTTTACGACGACACTTGTTTCGAACACATCCCATATTTGCGATGACATTGGTAAATAAATATGTTTTGAATTAGTATTGTCAATACATATTACTTGCTGTCAGTTTCTCGTTATTCGGATGATGATGTGGTGTTTCAAGGACATTCCATTGAACAACTATTTACATTTGCTATATTTGGTTGAACTAGCCATTTTTCGTTTCTGAACGATTTTTCGACATTTCACTGGGTGTATGAGTTTATTTTAATTAAAGTTTGCTAAGTTTTGGGGGCAGTGAACGGGCCCGTAAGCAGTTAACCTTAAATGTCACTACCTTTAAACTGGTAGGGCTTTTTCTCTCGCCTACCCTTTGTTATTTAATGCGTTTAAAGTAAATCATGGCAAAGTAACGCATGGGAGAAACAAACTAAATGAATGACAATGGATTATGAACGTGTCCGCTTTTAAATTGGGATTTTCTTGAACCAATTTCCACTTTGATTGCTTTTAATACACAGGAAAAAACACGACCGCCATTCCCTGTTTCTAAAGCTAAGAAAAAAGTAGTTTTATGTAAGTATGCAATTGCAAGTAAGTAAATTAAAAGAAATCCACATCCCTCTTTTTTTACCACCACTCACGGCAAGGTTCGTTCATTTCTTAATCCCACATAGGATTGTGGAGAATGCAGCTAGAACACTTGGTGTCACATGTGAAAGCTTACACCCGAAATAATGCAGACTTCCAAAAGGCGGTTGGCAAACCGCGAATGGGAAAGGTGAGTAGATAATTTTTAACGTCATTTAAACCTATAAGTGATGCCATTTCGAGAGACCATGTTTCTCGTGTATTTTCGTCGGGTTAAGGTAGTTTTATTATTTTGAATCACTTATTTGATCCTTTTTACGATAATTGGTGGTAGTTTCGCTGCACTTTCATCGGTTGGCATTTTTTTAAAATCTAACTAGCTCGTTTACGCTGATGTGGATGAAAGCCAACCGGACGAGGTCGTAATTTGCTTCACTTTCAAGCGCCACGGTCCCTTGCCGCGAGTGTGTGCACTCGGTGAGACCTCGGAGGCGCCGATCGACGTGGCAGAGAATGGAGATCGAATGAGTCTCAGCCCTCCCACCTCCGGTCCACGATATCGACGCCAGACCAACAACAGCAACACAACTGAATTTGCCTATCCTTTGCGGGCGGCTAGCACACCGATTTTGAAATTCGATCCCTCGTACACAAGTGCTTAGTGAAACTCATGTTACATTGTGTTTTTCGTTCATGTGCTTACTTTATTTTACTATACTATGCACTTTTTGGAGGCGGTGCTGACATCAAGTCTCCGCCCTCTCTGCCAGTGGATCAACCCTTCCGGTCCTCCTCACCGAACTCAAGCGCTCCTAATGTCTCCTTCCTAAGAGGGCTGGATAACCTGCAGGTACGAAGCATCCCATTAAATGTATTACTACTTGTTGGTCAAGAAATGCATGTCTAAATGCTCAAGTTTCTCTCAAGGAGGTGGATAAATCGGTCATGAAGGACTCATCACAGAAACTCAAAGAGGATGCGAATGCTGTAGATCAGGTGAGGCCTAGAAATCTGACCCCTCAATCTCCGCATTGCTTTTATGAGGTGACCAAAAAGCCGACCCATTTTTAGCCTAAAACAACTGTTGATTACCTTTCTTGCTTCACCCACTTCCACCTCTGTTTCAGTTTTAGCTCCAAATTGCATTTGTCTAAGGATGAGGTGTAAGATAAGTTAGGAAAACCTCGACATCAGGGAGAAGATGTGGAAAATGGATAGAAGCGAAGTGATATAGCTCCCATGTCCATTTACACTGCTCTGTAAGAATAAGTGGCGACCTTTCTTTCCACTAAGTGACTAGCCCTGCATTTTTCTCATGATGTGTTGTAACTTGTAAAAGCGAGAAGCCAAAACTATATGCATAAGGCCAAGGCTGCAGAAACGGCACCTACCTTTCCAGATCAAACACGCATTAACTTTTATGGAGTTGTGAATATCCAAATATGGACAATAATTTTTCAAGGACCAATAAGGTGGCTGCTCATGGGGTCGGCTATCAATGAACGTCATTTTTTATTTAGGTTTGTGTCCATGGCCACGCGTATGTATGCTCATGTTGTCACGCATTCAGATAGAGGTTATTCCAACTCTGTGTAGCTTTCTGTGACCAATTGTCACCACTCTAAAACACACATAAGCAATCAACCTAGTCTTGTAGAGCTAGGGTGAGGTGGATGACAGGCGGATAATTTGAGGGTGACCAGTGGCTTAACAGCACTATCATAAAGCGCAATTGGGTGGGACCCATTGGCAAGGATGATGGAGAAATAAGTACCTTTATTTTAGCTCAGCGTAGTACTCCTTTCGTGAAAGTCTGTTTTAACATTCTTGGCCGACCTTCTTATAAGCCTCACGGAGGTCGCCTTGTGGTAGGACCGGTGCGATCTCAACTGATTGGTTCCGTTTAAGTTGATTTCGGTATAATCTCTTCCTCATCCCTCCTAACGCACCCACCTTGAGGCCATTGCAATTGCTGGCAAGTGGTGTTTTAATTCCACCCGCAATGCACAAACAACGTAATGTTAATCCGTGTGAGATTATCTAAAATCTCGTGTGGCAAATTTTGACTCCTCAGTACGTTGAGAAGGCATGAGTTTCTTTTCGCTCATACCAAACTGAGAAAAAGAGGTTTAGTGGGCGCAATCCAAGCACATTTTTCAGTACTCTCAATCCACGAGGAGTGATTACAACACAGACCGCTAAGTGACACTTGATGCTCGCCCCACAAAACTTGCACACGTTGTAGTTTTGTTTTTAAAGACAATAAATTGATTCCAATCCTTCTTGCCAAGGCATGGAAGCGGCATTCTCCACAAGGCCCTCCTTCGGGGCACTCGCTTAGAAGGCACCTTCCAGGTGACTATAGAGTAAGTCGAGGTTCCCAAAGCAAGATTCTTGTAAATTCCATCCAAATCCATCAATATTTTATCAGCTTTTGTAAGGATGTCATCCACGTCACACATGCGTGACGACCCAACTCATAGTTAAATATGATGTCTAAAGCGTGTTACAAAAATTTATCGCAAATCTGTGCATCCTGGTATAGGCCAGTCAACGGTGGGAAAGATCTTCAATATTAAAGCTCCCGTTCTGTGAACTTTTTTCACGTAAATGACCCTTCCACCATCAGGAATCACTTTCCTCTTTTCTTCATTGAGGTCCAATTCAAAATTTGAGAGGAAAATCGTGCAAAACTGACGCCTTCTTTACGATTCAGCAGTTCATGCGAATTTACTCTCCTCCCTTCGAGGAAGTGTTGTGAGGAATGAGTCTCGTCAGCAGACTGGTTTTAAGGCGTCACGTCTACCCCAAACGTCAAAACACCCACGAGCACTCACATGCGTTAAAATCGCCCAACTACCACCTCCCCTCCCACTTGCACATATACACTCACATCTTACAAGAGATTTCTGGCAATTTTCACCTGAAGAAAGTCATTTACACCTACCTTTTTGTGTGCTGACAATCCGGAAATGTGGGGCCTAGTTATACATGCTGATGGCCCTGTAGTTTCTTGTGTGCTCCGTCTACGATAGTCAGGCACGATAAGCAGCTAAGTCATATATTTAATCCAAAATAAACATCTAAGGCACAGCCAACGAATGAGTCTAGAGAAGATGAATAAGATTCCTTTGGCTGCCGTTAGTGTATTACAACGAATGCATCATGAAATCAACAAAATATGAGATGATGGGATGGCATGGTTGGAGCTTGTCAGTGGCTCTCATCGGAGTGTCATTATACAAACTAACTTCGAGTCGCAATATTGCACTTGAATACTAACGTTGGAGCAGGGGGCTGATGGGTACTGCAAAGTCGAGATAAAGAACGTCAATTCAGGCTCTGATCCTCAAAGAAGCTCTGTGGAACCTCGTCCTAAGCAAAATGGTAATAGCAGAGAAAAGAAACAACTTCTTGGAGCATGTCCTGGGCGTCCACAGCTGCCATAATGCTTCGGTAGCCCGATTCTTCGACCTCACCTGCGAACAGGTACTCGTCGAGTACGAAGTAGGCTTTTTCAAAGTGGAAGATTATGTCGAGTTCGCACACCTTGGAATTGAAGTGGTTAAAAGGAGTACTTACGTTTCCAAAATACTTATCCAGAATTTCAACATAGCGATGGATAATTTCCAAGGTTAAGAGTTCATTGTCCTCGGGTTCAATGGCACAAAGGAAATAGAGGCTAGCATACCTAAAGAGGAGTAGGTAGAGGGCCAAGAGTCATGCCTCCGGTACACCAGTTTCATGTCTTTCCATTCAAGAAAAGAAGACATCTTAGGTTTTCGAGCAAGAACCAGAGCCATAACTTCTCGCAAAATTGCCTTTTTTTCTTTGTCCGTGTACGAGACAAACCATTTCTGCAGTCTTACTTTGCCTTGGCGACTAAAAAGCGCCAAAAAATGAATCATTCTGCTACGGTAAAGGTTAGAAAAGTCTATTACCCCTATTGAATATGAATACCAATGAAGGGAAGGAAGCACGCTATCAAATTGATTCCAAACAGCTACCAAGAGCCTATCACCGAAATGCAGCCAAATATTTTCGAAAATTTACGCTTGTCGAAAATTCAATAAACAACAAATTTTATTTATTTAAATGTAGCCTCAAAGCCTATATAAAGAAAAAACGAAAAAAGAAAAAAGATATAAAAATAAGTTCACACCACTACATTCTATGTTTTCCATAGATTCTAGCATCGCGGATAAAACACCATTTGTATGCAGCTGGTGTTTACTTTTAAACCAAGTTTTGATCAAATTATGCTTTGAAGGCATTTAGTTCTGACCTAGTCATTTGTTTTATTTACCTGTTCTGCGGAGGCTCTTTTTGCCTAGAGTGCGCATGCGATGGCAAAGAGCAGCCGTAGCAAGATCAAAAGGAAGTTTAGAGCCGTAAAGCGGCACAAGATTAAGCCGAAGTCCGTTGCTCTGCTTAAAAAGGTTCTAAATATGCCGGTGGGTGGTACAGGTCTGCCTTATGTTGATGCCTCGAAGGCGGAGTTAGTTGAGATTGTCAAAAAGGAGGAAGGTATGTTCATTTTTGTCTCTTTTTTTGTTTTTGTAGTACTAGAAGTCGAACGTAAGAAAAAGCCGCCTCCACTAATGAATGAACATGGAAACTACCCTATATGGATGAATAAGAAGGAGATGCGCCGGCACATAAGTAGGCGAAAGCGTGTCCTTCGCAAGAAAAGAAAACTGGGCAAAAAGTAACCAAGAGATATTCATAGAACCGTGTACATATCGTCATAAGTGTGTATACAACCCAATGTCTATGAGATTGTGTTCGTTCGCCCAGCTTTTCTTTTTTTGTCGACGGTGGTTGCTGACTTAAACCTAATAATGATTTTGACTCGTAAAACACGTTTCATTATCGTGTCACAAGTGGTATTCAACTCGGTTACGCGGAACGGATACATCTGGTGGGAACTTCCTTCTCCGACACCGGTCATGGGTGTCTCCGTTATAATTTTTTTCTGTAAATGAGTTGCTTTTCTTGCTCTTGAATACTAATGCTTAGTATTTCTCAGTGCTTCATATCCTATTAGCATTGTTGGGAACGGTTTCCCATAACACCTTTACCTTGGGTGGCATCTTGTGCCTTCATTCTACGAGTATTTTACAGTTGCTCATTGGTCTCTTTTTAAAACTATTTGGTTGCATTGGGCTACATATCGCCGCCATAGGGAGGGATTTCCACCAATGATACTTGAGTGGTTGCAAATGGCTTTGAAACTCTCTGATTTGGCCTTGGGAAGTCTGTGTTCTTCGATTCTAATATGCATAACGCTAACTCATCATCATGCGTCTTCGTCTACTGTAATGGGAGCAGTAGGCTAGAGCTTAAACCACTGATAATTTTTGCATCGTGCTCCTTAGGTTGCTTCTCTTCTACTGTCAAGTGGCGCCAAAGTTTCCATTAAAGTGAAAAGCTTTGTGCGCCACCTTACCGAAATTGAATGTTGGATGCCAGTTGGGCCAGCTGTGACTCATTCATCAATCATCAATCATCATTCATCAATACTGAGGTATCTGTGTAACCAAAGTAACGCTGCGAACTCATTCTGCCTTAATTTCCGGAAGGCGAGTTTCTCTCGTGCAACTGATCTCTTTTCCTTCATCAATTGTCAGGTCGTCTCTCCGGTTGAGAACTCTCTACTCAATCTCCGCGTCCTTACGAGTTGTTGCAAAAACCAATACTATTGTGGGTATAAACGAACTTCAACCGTTATTGAAATGCCAAAGTAATTGATTAGGTGGAATATCGAAACTTGTTGTCTGGCAGAGTTATAGCACAATGGTAACCTCCAAGCTGAACGGTTCTTAATTATTGGCGTCGATTGTTAAGTGGGTGCGTTTACACGATTGTTCCCGACGTGTTGGTGTAAGCCTACTGTCTCGCCTTAGACGCCAAAGGTCAGGAGTATGCACTTGTCAGAGGTAGTGCCACAATAAACTACGGTTTAGGATAAGGACTATCGGGAGTTGTAAGTGTGAATTTAGAACTTAGGGCTTGTCATGCGTCTTGCTTCTTACCGTTTAAAGTATTAACTGTCCTCTTTAATATCCGTCGCTGATGACTTTTGTCCCTCGTCAAATCAGGTATTATTTGTTGGAAACTACACAAGTCTCATCTCTGGGCGGGCCTCTAGTTTCCTTGTCATTCGGTCACGAGGTGCAACCGCTAGGATGCCTGTGGTTACTGTTTTTAAACCTCTAAGTATAGAAATAGGAGAGATTCACGTGTAATACTCCGTGTCTTCTGTACGATTTGCACATGTTACTTCTTGGCAGTCAGTGTAGGCTGAATGAGGGTTAAAAACTGTTTTTTAAAACCCAGTGATATGTTGGTGGCTCGTGTCTTGGTTGACTAGTCAGTAGTCAAGGCAGTGTACACGGCCGGCTGTATGTAGGCGTCACAACAGAGCTGATGGGGGGGGCCGGTGGCTTCCTTCTCCGAAGATAACATCAGACTGGAAACTGTCAGAAGTATAGCTTTGAGGCTTAAGAAAGGATAGGAAATGAAGCAATGATGGAAATTGAGGTGGCTGTACTTACAGACGGGAAGCCACTATTTAGTTGCACGCAGGCAACACTTCAGTAAGCAAGTTAGAAGCATTGAGGGACCTAGTTTTAAAGCAATAGATTTGCGTGCCTTTATCATCCATCATCTCCACGCTATGTGACAATGTATCTATGCTGTACCGGTATCAATAATAACCGAGTAAATTGATGAAACTAGGCCTAAAATGAGAATATTTTTGCGATGACTGCGGTTGTCAATTTGTTCGACCTTCCTCCATCCTTTCATTTCTCGTCGCACTGAACTGATTCCGCAATTCTGAAATGCAACGTTGTCCAAAGGGAATAAAATGTAGAATAAGGAACTAAGTAATCGGTCATGAGTACCTGCTTGCAAAGGCATTTACTATTACTCCTCATGTATTGCATTGTTATGTATCTTTTACTTGATTATAAAGCGCAACCAATGTTTAGCCGCCATTACGAAAACATTCTCCGGCCAGCTTTTTACGTAAAGACACTAGAAAGTGTGTAAATAAACAGATATGTTTCCTGTAGCCATAGCGACGATAAAAACTTCAGATTACGGATTCCAGGGCCTAGCTTTTATGCTAACAAAGTGTAGAGTTGAAAGCATTACCGTTGGCTAGATGGGGAAAAAAAGTTGAAGCTGGTTGCTCCTATGCCATTCTTTGCATAACATTTGCCAACCATTTGGTCATTAGGGCAATTGGTGGACCAATCAGCAAATAGAGGTGGAGTAGCCAATCAGCTTCACGTTCGGTGTACAAACGCCTCTAAAATGTGCCCACCGATATGTGGTGCAGAGGAAGGTTGAAAACAGACTACCTAGCACGTGCCCTCACAAGTGTTAGCACGCTTTGCTTTGTCTAAAATTTTTACTCTTATCTCTATCTCTCTTCCCTTCTTTTGGTACAGATGCCTAACAAATTGGCTGCGCCTTTCGGACCTGCCAACGCTCCCGGAGCAGTCAATCTCGGATGTAGTCAAAGCACCGTTACCCGTGATAGCGTGGTCAATTCGGTAGAAAATGTTTGTGAAGCAGATGTAAGCACTCCTCAACTTGAATCGTCCAGGAATTAAGGTCTTCCCACTCATTAGTGCGCATAAAATGGAGGAAAATCCAAAAATGGTGAAAATCAAATTGTTTTCTCTCACTAGTGACGATTTTTCAGTCCCTTCAAGACATAAAAGTGGCAATTTCAAGGAGGTCATAGTATTTTGCATTGTTGAATTTGTGTCGTTAATACCTGTCTGATCATGTGCGCATGGGGCATCACATGACCTATCAAGCCTCAAGGGGCACAAATCCCATCCTCATCCCTGTGGCTCGCTGCCTCTAACAGAGGGGAGCCAATCTTTGCATGAATGAAGTATGCCAACATTGCATTACCTTTACACATGCTCATCCTTTTAGGATAGAGGAGGTGGAAATCAGGAGAACCAGACCACGTCGCGTCCAACAAATTTCACTTATTCTGCCGGACTAGTTCTCTCCTGCCTTGGATGTGTCCTGGGAACAGGGAATATCTGGCGTTTTCCTCGGATGGTGGCAGTTGCCAGCTCTGATTTAGGTAAGAACAATAAATGCAAGCTTAGCAGAACTTGTGACATGACTTCGTCTTTTATCACCTTGTCAGCTGAAATGACAAGTGTGGAACCGGTTGGATTCTTTAATTTGATTGGTTCAATCGACAACACTTCCAAATGGGATTGGATATCGTTTTTTTTTTTCAGGAAGTCTCACTTTCATACTAACCTGGGTGTTCTTCCTCTTCACCTGGTCCATTCCTCTCATTGTGACAGAGTATACGCTGGGCAGATTTACTCGTGGATCTCCAGTTGTTGCGTTCTACAAATTTCTCGGTGAAAAGTGCATTTGGGTGGGATTGTGGGTCACCTCAATTGCATTCATGATCAGGTCTGTTGATTCACTTATTTTTTCCTTTACTTGACTATCACAATTGCGAGAACCATTCACTGAAGTAGCCTCCAAATTCCTTATCCAACAACTCTCCTTTCGCCCTCACCTCCTCCACAATTCTGGCACGTACCACCTCGTCGCCCACGCACCTCGTCCTTACGAATTGTTCCCCTGATAGAGATTAACCACCGATTACAGTGCTTTTTGAGATATGGAGGCAAGTATTATACTACTTGTCACCTAAAGCCAACCTCTATATCCGCATCGATACTTTCGCCTTCCATAAATGACATCATATGGAGTGAAAGTAGACGGCAAAATAAACAATGGAACAGTCACTTATCGCAAATTTTGATGTTCAAATGTAGTGCCTACTTCTCGGTTGTCGTGGGTTGGTGCTTCTACTACTTCTATGTGGCATGCGCATGGCCCACTCTTCCCTCCACCGAACCGGAGAGTCGAGTCATCTTTGATCACTTCATTGTAGGTCCCATTTTTAATCCACCTACTCCGAAATGCCCTAATTTGGTGTGTTTTTTCTCATTTTAGCAAACCTACTGGCCTCTGTTTAATCACACTCTCTGTCTCCTCATTTGTGGAGTTGCTGTATTCAAAGGTGTGAAAGGCATTGAAATTGCTAATGGTGTATTGGTTCCACTTCAACTCCTCATTGTCATTCTCGTCTTCTATTGGTCTTTGTCTCGAGAGTATGCTGAAATTGGGATAAAATTTATGTTCACACCGGATTGGGGTGCGTTTATGCCATCACTTTTGAGGGTGTTTGAGATTCACTGCTATGCAATTTCTTGTTTTATTGTAGACACTCTTCTTGATCCAAAACTCTATGTTGAAGCAGCCTGTCAAAACGCCTTTGATACAGCAGCTGGAATGGGTCTTTTCTCTGCCTATGCTGCCTACTTCAGTCGAGACACTGGAGCTGTTCGATACAGCGTTATCCTTCCTGTCATCAACAATCTAGTGAGGTAGGACAGTGTAGGAGTTGGACACCCTCCAACATTTCCTCCTGCACCACTTTCCCTTTTCTTATGCTGTGCACCGTGGCAAGTGCTACCGTCCGAGGAGAGGCTGCATGACACTAAGGGGAAATGCAATTGAGATAGCTCCTCACATCGCCCAGTCTTATGAATTTACTCCCTTTCTCCTACCCCTGACAAAAAGTCCTTCATTCATTTCTTTCTAGTTTAACCTGTGGACTGACTATATTTGCGACAGTGTTCTCCACACTCATTCAAACGTCGCCCACTCTCACGGTGCCTCAAATTGTTGCCATAATGAAGGAGAGTGGTCCAGGAAGCACCGGTCTTACCTTCACTTGGTAAGTGAAACAAGCTTTGTACCAACTAAGATTGCTATAATGCACCACTGGGGTGGTCCCGACACCTCCGAGACCACTTTGTTGCCTCCCTCTACCCATATTCTCACCAATTTCAACAATTTCCATTTATACTAATCAGGATTCCAGTGCTTATGTCAAAGCTGGGAGTTATGGGGAGGATTCTTTGTGGACTCTTCTTCCTTTGCTTGTCATTTGCCGGTATCAGTTCAATGATCGCCTACATTGAACTTACAGCACGAACAATTCAAGACTTTGGTGGTAGGTAAGCTGGAATACTGTGTACCATGGACACAAATTGTCTTCTCCTTTTTTATAGTAAAACGACTCTGGGCAACAGTGGGATCGTTGGTGGTGACATTCCTTGTCGGTGTGCCCTCTGCTGTCAGTATCAACATCCTCTCCAATCAAGTACGTTTTGACGTCTAATCTGGTTGATTGTTTCGGTGTTATTGCCAAACAATGTCTTCTTTTTGGTGATTAGGATTTTGTTTGGAGTTTTGCACTTATGATCTCGGGACTGTGTTATTGTGCATTGGTTATTTTCTACAATCCTGTGCGATACCTTCGTGTCATTGTCAATGATTTTGCAATCAAAGATTGGCGGCTACCATTTGTGTGGGTCATTGGTATTGTGTAAGTTTCACATTTTTGCCCTTTTTGGTAGTTCTCAAAGGAAGTGGGTATTAAAAGGTTAAAAAAATTCGGTTTTTAACCTCCAGCGCCGTGGTTCCGGTGGAGGCGATTGGACTCATTGCCTGGTGGGCGTATCAGAATGTTGCCTTTACAAAGTGGTACATTATTAATGCTGAATCTCTGACAATCACCTTCCTCGAGGTAAGGCTTGTGCATAGATGCCTCGACTGCAAAGTATGACACTCATCCTCCCATTTTGCTGCACCTCAGTGGACCATCTTGGTGGTGCTGGTTGGAGCTGTTAACCTAGCAGTTAATATATTCAAAATCCAAGCCCTGAAGACTGCCGCCAGCGTGGGCTACGATCCCTACCATCCGGAGGGCATTCCTCCACCTTCACAATGTCGGCGGAAGGTAGAGATACCCATCTATTCACAAGATCGCATCTGTGATGACTGTGAGAGTGGAAAATCATGACCTCGGTGTCAGACACTTCATAGGCTTCTCCCTTTCAATCATTAAAGCGATTTGCTCAACCAAAAAAAAGAGAAAACATTATCGATGAATCTGTTTGTAGTGCGGATCCGTTCACTCTCCACTGTGTGTCTGACAGCATGCCCTGTTAGGTTTATTTCCCTCAAATCACGTTTTTGACTCCCCTTGGATAGTAATATCTACACATTTTAGATTTACTGTAAAGCATTTTATTTACTCAATAAATATTAATGTCATTAAGTGTTTTATCCACCAACGTTTCCATCCATGATAACTGCACTTTTTCAATGTCAACATTTCGTGCCCATTCTTGTCAGCTTGCAAATAGGTATTTCCTTTTTTTTTGAACTCACGAGCTCAGATGCTAAAGTGTGAGAAGATAAATGCATTGTATGGTGAAAGGAGTTGCTGATTCCGCTCTACTGCAGCCCTGAAGACGACTGAGGACTTAGGAGGGGCTTGGGCTACTGAAGTGGATCAGGAGCTGTACTGTTGCTCTATTGTAGCACCTAAAGTCGGGCTCATGTCTTATTCTTAATTTACTCATTAAAAACACCTTTTAAACGTGGAGTAAGGGGGGTTAGGGACCACATATACGTATTAAATATCACAGGTGCATACTACTTAATCAAGTAGCAAGTAGCAAGCACTACTGTTAAGGAAGTATCATCGATAAGCAGCCAAAGACGTGCATTCCATCAATGGTCGTGATCGTACATCCACTTTTTTCCAAGTTAAGTTGGCCTTGTAGGAATGCAATTGGTCAATCATTACTATCGTGGAACAGTGGAATAACAAATAAAGAAAAACTCCAAGAGCTTGTCTTTTATGGCCAAAAGTATTTATGACTTCTAGCCTTCCTTAAAATTCTCTATGGCGTATGAATATTTTAAACAAATGCTGATTAGATGCTATTGCCTATAAGCGGAGCTTTAGCCCCAGCAAATGCAGTGTTTATACAATCAAACAAGCAATCGAAGAGTTGCATTGTCTCTTCTTTCCTTGAAAACGTCATCCGCGATGCGCTACTTTATCATAATTAAGTAGATGAAGCGGTAGGAACACAAACAATTGACGATTACACAGGATCGAAGATTTCTCTCTGTAAGTAAATGTGATGATCGCCTGTGAGTTCATTGTACTGGCTGGTCCTACATGATCCCATGATAACGAGGTTTGGGGTCTGCTTCTTTTGTGTCCACGTGAAGTCCAGTCCGTTAATGGAAGCTCCTGTTAACATTATTGGACTGATCTTTCGTCCTGTTTCAAACACCAAGATTTGCATTCAGCCGCAGACGTCCTTTGAACATTGAGATCGCTTTGCACTACTGCTACTGTGAGCTCCTGGTCCCTCTCAAAGCTCTGAGCAGTCACAGTAGTGTACCAGAAGATGTTCCGTCATAATTTTGGCGTACAAATGCGTTTAGCTAGTAACCTCCTTAGAGATTAGTTTTAGTTTTGATAAATTGTTTGAGATTAGTCACCAAAGTGGTCTAAAACCGAAATTCAAGCAAAAGCAAGGTGGCACTGACAATTTCCCATCTGGTATGATTAAAACACAAACAAGGGGATATAAATTACTTCCCATGGTCACCTTAGGAGGCTGTTTAGATCACATTTAACCTTTTTAACAGTCTAAATTAATCTTGTCCTCATAATGGGTGATAGAGAACTTAAAATAACTCTGCACGTCCTATTGACTAATCAGAAAGGAGGTAGCAGAAAGCGACCTTCAAAGCCGATTAGCGATTGGCCAATGGTGTTAAAAGGTCTAGTAACCCCAAGAGAAAGCCCTTTTCTGCACAAAGTTGTGCAGAAGATGGTGAGTTATACCTTCTGAATCATCCACCTCGCAAATACGGATTAATAGAACACAGCTGATGGAATGGTCCAATAATTCTGTAGAGCCTCTAACGACTTGATGAAATTTCTAAGACTCTAAAACGCTTATCACATAAGCGAGGAATGTAGGCTTTATTAGGGCTATTAATTAATGGACACAGAAATATGCCACTTACATTTATCGCTGGTCACATCATTACGTTTGTTGTGGGTGGTCTGAAAACACTGAGTAACCGTAATTGGCTACGAGCTGGGCTGTCTGCTTCAATGAGAAGATAATCCATGCGTGTAAAGTGATTTGATTCATTTCTGATCGCTTGATTTTTAAACTTATTTCATCGACTTGCGTCACTAGCCACCGCCGTCAGTGTGGGATTCCCATTTTGGCAAAAAAACAGCACTAAACCCAAATTAAATTCGCGATGGTCGAATTAAGGGACGTTTTGATTGACATGGTACCTTCTGATTCTGAAGAGCCATTCCACCTATGGTTTTCATGTTTCTTTCCAATGTAGAATTTTCAATAATGCTTAGACATGATCAAAAGCCATCAACCTCATCAATTCCCGCTCAGGGATTTCATTACTTAGGGCGCATGAAAATGGGCACGTGGTGCAAAGGTGGGTCAAAAATTTCCACAATGAAATGCTAGTTTGCGAGTAAATTGTGCTAACAACAGTCTACACGACCTGTCTCCATGATTATTAATACCTAGCCATTGAGGGCCACAGATGTGAAACATGATGTAACTTTGATGAGACTACAAAGCAGCAGATTTTAGGTGTCATTAAAACAAATTGCAGTGACTGATAATTGTCACCCGAATGGACGCCTCTTGCACACCCCGAGCTTGACGTTTGTTTATTGTGGGATGAAAAAGCCTTCTATCACCATGGTAATCAAATGCTCATTGTGTCCAGTGTAAACAAAACAAATGCTTAACAGGAAACAGGTGAAAAGAGCCCTTTCTAAGATTCCACCAAACCACACTATCCGATTTCCACTTGAGTACTAGAGATGGGTACAACTTAACAATTGTTGTCAAATTCAATGCGTCTTACGCCTTGACGATCGTCGAATTTCCTACTATTGAAGGCTTAAGGGGTGGAAGGTTGGACTAGTTGAATCCTGAAGTTAGCACTCTTTTGATTACTGAAGGTACTGCTGTGATGGTGCTGAAAAAATCATGAGGTGTGGCAACTATGGTGTGTTTAACTGTAGTTACACAATCGAGTCTTTTGTCTTTATACGCAAATTAATGTCTTATTACCAGTCTTTTGATTAAAACAAAAACTGTTTATATTTCTATCAGGTTTAATGCAATGCTACTCATAGATGATTCCTACGAATTCAGTAGCATATTCTGTCGAAGCAGATCATATTGCAAATAAGGACATGTTAATTTTGCACTACTTTGGCATTATGGTTAGATCATTTTAAGGGTTTGTTTTTATTGTATGCGGCACCATTACCATGCTGTCATCTTTTTCTTTCAAAATTTTCCGCTATTTACTAAAACAAGGAGTTAATGAATCGGCAAAACTCTGAAAACAGAGTGGACTTTAAGGCGGCAAAATAAAAATTGAGCTTCTTTATCTCTTTTTGGGAGCAAATTACGTTTTAATCATGTGCAACTACGTAATTTTCGAATGTCATTATGTGGTTACTTCAAGGTTTGCCTGTGTACAGGTGTATTGCCAAAATCGGGGAGGTTTACGGAATGGAACTAATCTGACGTCTAAATATTAAGCAGAAAAAAGAATAGGCAGATGTCAAAGAGCAAAACATAGAAGTCCGTTGCTAAAATTTAACTCTTAGCAATCTTTAAGCAGTTTAGTCCTGATGGGTGGCTCATAGTGGAAGTGAGAAATAATTCACCCCAAGTCACTTGTTCTAGCTTTTGTTATGAGATGCCCTGAATCAAGCCCTATACGAGGCATCTTTTTGCACTTTAGGCCATTCAAAGCGGATTAGTTGCTTGTGACGACTGTGTTTACAATGTCATAAAGGATTTTAACCAAAATTTACTCGAAAAAATCGGCTCGTAAATTTGGAACTAGAGGAGACTCGCAATCTGTGTCTGTTCACCATTGCCGCTCCGCATTCTAGTAGAAGGAGACATCCTTCTTCGCCTACTGACGTGGTGGATGCGCTCACTAATGCACTTAGAAAATCATGGTTGTCTGGTAAAGTGACAGCGACCACTGCCTACGCCAGTAAGTGGGATGTCCAACACCCGGTTTTAAGCTGTCACGCAGCCAAACTCACATGCAAGACTACTCCTTTCCATTATTCTATTGATTTATTGGGTGCCTGAACCTGATTTGGTACGAAGACTTGGACCAACGACATGAATGGCTGCTGTAGGAGCTTGAGTGCTCATTGGCTGCGCCCATCGTCAAGGTAGCCAATCAAAACGCTCGGGATACGCAAAGCTAATTGGTTTATTAACCTAATTCCGGTCTATGCACGACCAAAATTGGTAGCGCCGTACTAAACAGCAATGACGACTGAACAGTGATTTAGCAGGTCATTCTGGTATGGCAACTCAAATACTACTTTTGTCTGCAGCATTGGCTAACTAATCCCACGGCAGGACCAACCTAGGACTACAGCTGTCCGAAGGGAACCTCATTCAATGGGGCTAGAAGGGTAGTCGACATGCTTACTAGGTCATGACCGACGTTTTGCTAGATCTAGAAGAGCTTGGAGGGCATTATAAATAAGTCTACTTTTTTTCTCTACTCTTTGTTTCAACAAGTTTTGGAGTACCTCCGAGTGACTAGGCATTAATATAAAGGAAAGGTTTTTAATGCAGGCAAATTTTAACTCTGATGCAGGAGGTTAAAATGCTAATTTACTGGTGCTATGCCAAAGAGTGGCGCGAAGCTTAACACCTACTTCATGGTTTACTTGTTCTTTCCTTGTTGTATTGCATTAGCAGACGAAGTGCATTCGTCTATGATTCTCTCACGGTAGTCTGGCTTAAATTGCACTAACTGAAGGATTTGAAGATACATCACAGTCTTGTGGAGTACCAAAATGCTAAAGTAGCCTACTTGTCAACCAATTCTTCTCCACAGCTTTTCGTACGTGTGACTGCGCAGCACCTACGGCGTCAAACATGCAGCCCTTCTAAATAATGGTTTACCAGGTTGACTTAAGGCCCTGTAAGCATTTGCACCACCCTCAAGATTGTGCCACAGGCTCTTGCCTTGGTGCTAACACCTTTGATAGTTTACAATGATACTAATGTTACATCAGTAACGGAAAAATCCAAGTTTAGCGAATTACTATTTAGCATAAGAGATGAGGCGGCGTCAGATCATTCCACTCTCAATGACTGTAACCCTTTGGCCCTTATGGCAATGTGATGGTTGGCAAAATTGGCTTTTACGATAGGCAAAACAGGTGGCAAATGCTTTAAAACAAAAGCCTGTCCACTTTGAAGAAGTTCTTTTCAATTCCTCTACAGAAAAGGAACAATTTGAGTAGGTCACGCTCAAACAGCGTTAATACTGCGTGATCTTACCTCCTCGTTTGCAGTAAGCTAGCATGACAAGGTGACGTTGATTTGACATCAAATTTGCTTGAAAAATGCATTCATCAAATTAATTCATTTGATACGGTAATTATGAATTCTCGTTTCCGCAATGAAGTCGATAAAAAGAGTCTACGTCTTGGTACTGAAAAAAAAATTAAAAAAAAAGGGGGTTGGAGTTGACACCACATTCACACCTAAAAGGGCATTTATAGTGTGATGCGTAGAAATGAGTAACACCCACTACTTACCACAATGTTCTCTAAAACAACAAGTAGAAGAGTACAAAATTAATGCACAATAATGAGATTTTTTGTCAGAGATTTTTACGAACGGATAACATACAACTTATGAACGCCCATGCACTACTTATAAGGTACTAAAGGCAAAATCAATTTCAAGAGGATGTAGCATTTCACAGATCTCTTTCTGTATCCCATTAGTTAAGGAAATGTCAAATAACTTAAAGGTGGAACAACAAATTGTATGCACAGGGCCAAAAATTTTCCTTCACGTAAAGGCCTTCGTGTCTACGTCCACTGATGGTCCTTTCACCAAAATATGGTGTTAAAGGGGCCGCTAAATATATTTTTACTTAAGATGGCAAGTTTTAAGTCTCAGCGATGACCTGGTGAGAGGCATGGCCTTGTGCTCTCCACCATTCCCTTCGACCAATCAGAGCGCGGGAATTTGAATGTCGCGCCAATTTTTCTCGAATCAAATCTGCAGCGTTAGTTTAATCAATTTTTAAACTCCTTTCTGCACTACATTAACATCTACAGCATTTAACAGCTACCACTTTTACTTCGCGATGGGTAAGGCAAGCAACACCTCGGAAAGGACAAGCACTCCTGTAAGTTTAGCGTCATCGCACGGAAGTAGGGGAAGGCGGCGCACCTTTCTCCGTGGACAAGCTGAGCAACTTTTTTGTGATGACTAATTAATTAAAGGCATCAACCCATTACTCGGGATCTTCCCGTTGCCTTGGGCTCCAATTTAATTTAGTACTAAAAAACTAATGGCTTAATCATATATCCTGGCATCTAAAGTGAGCACGAATTAAAAACAATTAACTTATTGCATTATTTTAAGGTTACCGAAAGTGAAGGCTCGAGTGATTGGCTGGTGTCTGATGCGGGTGAAGACAAGAAGTTCTCCTATTCTTTCGGCCTCATAGCCTCCTGCTTGGGTTGTGTTCTTGGCACTGGAAATATTTGGCGATTTCCTCGAATTGTAGCCACAGCTAGTTCCGAAAAAGGCAAGTTTCCCAAAATTACTTTGTAGCTAATTGCATAGAATAAATGCTCCACCTAATCGGATGGTCATGCAAACATTACTGTTTAGATACTTATTTTGAGAATATCTTGCTCGACTGTCTGTTCGTACTTCCATTCACTCATCCATTCCATGCTGAAAGCGTAACTTCTCCTCCTCTTTTTTTGTTTTACGACCAGAAATGCGTCAGTCTGACAATCGTGCAAGATTTTTGCGGTAGTCGGTGGTGCATTTGCATTTAGGTTATGAAAGGTGTCGTTTGGTTTTTTTTTAACCGCCGGTATCGTCCATCTCCTCCTCATCATACAAACAAATCTGTTTTTTTTTCTCTACTTGGATAAGGAAACATGTTTTGCCTAAATCACCTTCCTTGCACCTGTAAACACACCCTAATTTGAATAGGATGGTGTTTACCTAGCCTAGCCCTCCCGCATGCATTAAAACGCCATCATTTTCGGACAGCTTTATGATGTGCATGGGCGCCAGAGAAGTTAAAACTCAGCTCCACTTTGCAGGCAGGGAGAATCAAAAAAAAAAACGCATTGTTGTGACACTTTTACAAAATTGTAGGAAGTCTTTGTTTTATCCTGGCGTGGCTCTTCTTTCTCTTCGCCTGGTCGGTACCGCTGATCATCACGGAGTACACGATTGGTCGATTCACTCGAAGCTCACCAGTAATCGCCTTTCAAAAATTTCTTGGATCAAAGTGTCTGTGGGTCGGTGGTTGGGTTACAGCTATTTCTTTTTTAATCAGGTACAAACACAGGTCAAATGGGTAGAATAATCGTAAGGGGCTGTAAATACTACTTATAACTTATAAGTCTACATGACATCAAGTATGAACATTAAATGTCTCAATCTTGCCTATTTCAGTGCCTACTTTTCAGTAGTAGTTGGCTGGTGCTTCTACTACTTCTACGTTGCTTGTGCATGGTCAAATTTGCCTTCCACCGAACCGGAGAGTAAAGAAATTTTTGAGAGTTTCATTGTGAGTGGGGCCAGTCTTCATTTTTGTAACAACAAAGTGGCCACAACAATGCGATACTACTTTTAGGGCACCTACTGGCCACTTGGATTGCACACTCTTGATTTACTCATCTGTGGAGTGGCTGTTTTCAAGGGTGTGAAGGGAATTGAAATTGCCAACAGTTGTATGGTGCCTATTCAACTCATCATCGTTATCTCCACCTTCTACTGGTCTTTGTCTCGTGAATATGCTGATGTGGGCATTAAATTTATGTTTTCACCTGATTGGTGTAAGTTCTCAGGATTGGTGGAGGAAGGTGTGCATCTTACCAGTGAGAGTATACAAACCATTCTTCCTCCTTTAGCAATGTTTGCCAACCCTCAAGTCTATGTTGAAGCAGCGTGTCAAAACGCGTTCGACACTGCGGCTGGAATGGGTCTGTTCTCAGCCTATGCTGCCTACTTCACACGCGAAACTGGAGCGGTGCGATTTGGTACCCTCCTTCCAATGGTTAACAACCTCGTTAGGTGATTTTATGTCTTTGGCTAAGAAACAAAACCAAAAAAAAAAGTAGAAGAAAGTGACACATGCCTTTACCGCCACACTCAATTTCATTTCTCCTTTTTAGTCTCGTCTGTGGTTTGATGATCTTTTCCACAGTCTTCTCCACACTTATTCAAACCCAACCAACTCTAACAATTCCTCAAATTGTCACAATCATGAAGGAGAGTGGTCCAGGTAGTACAGGTCTTACATTCACCTGGTAAGTTCTCCAGCCATTTCAACAGTGGGTGGGTCGAGGGCGAGTGTGCGAGAGAGAGAGAGCGCTCACAGCGAGTGAATTAATGCGGTTAGCACTACTTTCAGTGGTACAGACACCTCACACGCACACACAAACACACACATAGCCACGCAAACACACCTCTCAAATTAGGGTCACCGAGGTCATTGACCCTTTGGAAGAGACATGCAGACCGCTATGGTCACGTGGTTGATAATAAAAGGGACACACATCCAAATACACACACATATGTATATATATGCATAAACACACACACACACAATCCAATTGAGTCCCTCTAACATGCTTTTTGAGTGGTTAAACTTGCATGTATTTTATCTCTCCTCCATTCCTCGTTCGTTGAATAGAGGACCGCTGCCACCCCTCGCTTGTTGACAGGGCAACCTCGCGCGTATCTTGTGTATGTACTGCTTCTTGACTCCCTCGTTGTGTCCACACTACTGTGCCTTAACCACACCTAACCAAACTCACTGTAGCTCAATTATGCTCTCTCAAGTAGTCGATCCTGATCACTAGCTCCCACCTCGTCCAACTGAGAACATCATACCCTTGAGCAGTTTGATCTTTTAGGCCAATTTCCTTTGACAAGGCAAATTCCACCCTAATAGACCCTCTTCCCCCACCCAAACTATATTTTACAATTCTTTGCCATCTTTTATCTATTAAAATTGACTATTCTTTTGGTGGTATTTGAGTGGCGTGTTTAAAATTGTACTGCATTTTAGGATTCCTGTACTCATGTCAAGACTGGGAGTTGCAGGTCGTGTTCTTTGTGCCCTCTTTTTCCTCTGTCTCTCCTTCGCTGGAGTGACCTCCATGATCGGCTATATTGAGCTTACGGCTCGCACTATTCAAGACTTTGGAGGTCGATTTCTGTGATTCTTATCTTGCTCCTTCTTATAAAAATGCCCCTCACAGCATGTTAAAGTGGTTTTATTTCAAATTTTAGTGAAACGTCATTTGGCCACGATAGCTGCCCTCATTGTCAGCTTCCTTGTCGGTGTTCCCTCGGCGCTCAGCATTGATGTTCTGCAGAATCAGGTGAGTTTCATTGCCATTTATCCCCCTCATCTAGTCCTTACTGCTACCTTCTCTTTAGGATTTTGTTTGGGGATTTGCTCTTATGATATCTGGCATGTGCTACTGTGCTCTTGTCATTCGTTACAATCCTGTCAAGTACCGACGCGTGATCGTCAATGACTTTGGTCTCAAGGACTGGAAGCTACCGTTCATTTGGGTCATTCTCATTGTGTATGTTCTCGCCTTGCGTATTTCCATCCCTGACTACTTTCTTCCTCCCTCCGCGCGTCTTGTATTTTAGAGGCATCGTGCCAATCGAGGCGGTTGGACTGATTTGCTGGTGGGCCTATCAAAACATTGCCCTTGTCAGCGATTGGTATCTTATCAGAGTGCAATCACTCATGACAACATTTCTTGAAGCAAGTACTTAAATTACCTCAAAACTCAACTTAAGCACAAATTTTCAATGTCATTTATATAAGTAGCATTTAAGTAGTACTTTGATTTATTTTAAAATATCGATTTTATAGCAAAAAATTTCTTTAATTAACATAACACTGCAATAGTTGTGCTGTTTTTATGCTCACTCAAAGGAGTGATGCTCTCCTTACCACCAAAGCAGAGGTGTTTGGACGTGCAAACCACCAATTTCATCCTAGTGAAATGAGAGGATAAAGTCAACACCGTAGAGTTACTTCAGTGAGAGCACTTCCTTACCACTGCGTGGCCCCTACGGCATTGTCATCCTTCAAAGCAGTGCACATGACTTTGCTGGCGTCATAAAGGTGCTCCCACTTGCCGATTGGCGGAGAGCACTAATTGGTGCAGCAGCCTTGTCATCTGAAGGTCATTTAACGATTGTTTAATTCCATTTAGTGGTTCATTCTGTTTATACTCCTGGGTGGATTGAATATTGTTGTCTATTGCTGCAAATGGGATTTGTTGAAGGACTCCTCCACTCAGGGTTACGATCCCTATCGTCTGGAGGAAGCCTACGCGCAAAATGACCTCTCAAAAGACCCGTCATCCGTCTTTGAGGAGGATGGTGAGGAGGGATTTCATGCAAAGAGTGAAATGTTCTAACAAAGGGGCGGATTCGAAGTTACCAGAAGTAAACTCAGATGTAGATTTTCCATTTCTCTACAATCCGGTATCAGAGACGGCAAAACAAAATTTCCTCCACCCATATTTTTAAAGTGTACAACTCCACAATAATGTTGAATCACTATCGTCTATTTGTGAGTTTTGATCTCAGGAGATCTATAAAATGCTTTGATCAGAAATGAATTTTGGTTTTTCGAGTAAAGAGGGAATTTGTAGCTTCTGATTTATCCTGTGTGTCTTTTCATGGGGAGACCGCATCCCAGACTATTCATAGACAATAAATTTAAGACGGCCTTGTAAATGCAGTGGTACTTGACGCCTATCGTTGCCGTGAAGGGGTAGGAAAAACAAGAAGAGATCTACTTTTGAACCTGGTGACTAGTCGCAGGAGAACTTTTATCCACACCTTTGTACTGCATAACCCGTGGGAATCATCTAGCGAAACAAACTCAATTAAGGAGTTTTGGCGGGTCCCATCCTGATGGGATCAGATAGACATCTGGACAGGTTTAAAAAAGTTTTAATTAATAAAGGTCGACATTAAACAATGGAATAGTGTTGATAAGCCGAGGGTAACCCGGAGCGCTTTTCTTCATGGCGGTAGTTTGATGCTAAGTAGAATCAACGGTTTACTTGACCGAATTGTAGAATGTTTAAAGAAATTTAGGAGTGCGATGCGATGCTGTAGACAGTAAAATGAACCATAATTTAAGTAATTTCCTTCCACCTAACCTAGGCATTTTATCGAGTGATTCAGGGAGTTGATGGAAGGGTTGAAGAATGTGGAAATGAACGAGGCACACCAAAGTATAGGGGACTTAGCATCTCCGGTTTGATTATCAACAGCACTGCAAAAAGTCACAAAATAATGGGAAAAGGAGAACAAAAAGTCGTCGAAAACCCTTGCTCAGTGTACTACTTAAATTGCCAGTTAAGTAGCAATCTGCACAATCTCATATGGTATCCATGTAAATATAATAGTGTGCGCGAGAAATGTGAAAATTCCTATCTGAAGTGACATCTGCTTCCTTTCTTTCTGTGCATGATGCCGAACCAAACTTCAGCAGCTAACCCTCTCCTTAAATTCGAGGTTCAGGTGCCTGAGGACGGGCAGTCTGGCTTTACATTATGCCTCCCATCATGTTACTTTGCGAGGGTCCACGTAAGAAAGTTGTAGCATTTCCTATACACCAGCTTATTTAGGTCAAGCCTGAAACTGCGCTCTGAGTGCCTTCAGCTTGTGTGTGTGCGCCTTGAAACCGCCGGTTATGAAGTTGTCCGCAAGTTTAGGCTCCCATCTCTATCACTCAGAGGAGATACTAGGCCCGTCCAATAACAAGGGACAGTTTAACTCCTTGTAGAAATATTACCCCATGTGACTTAAAAATTCCAACACTCAATTATTGTCTTTCAAATTTCCACTCAGATTTTGTTATGCTCATCTTTTGGAATGTGACCACTCTTGCGCCTTCGCTGTCTTTCGAGTCCCTCCTCTCTGCTGTCCCAGAAGATTGCTTACTTAAGGGAGGATTTTGGGGTTAATGCAGGAAAGGGTAAGTTGGGATTTATGACAGTCCGTTAGTTTCGTGCGTTGTCTCCTTCAACACGCCATTAGAGTTGAATACTCACTTCCTGCCCAGGAGAGGCGTCTTACAGCATTACAACAATCACCAACACGCCAAATTTTGAAGAAATGTCAAAACTGCAGTAATGCTGCATTCATGCAGAATATGAAATTCAAACAACAGGCTACGCTAAGCACGTAATTGTGTTGTGGGATTCAATTGGAGCGGTGAATGAACAATTTGTGTCCAGTATGCATTAGAAAGTGTCGAAACTCAATATTAAATTTACTGGAAGGAAATTTGTATTAGTTTTAACCCGCTATTTCTTTAAAATATGTTTGCCGTATTGCAACTGATTACTCAATTTGCCCCATTAAAGGGAAGAAAGTGGTTTTTTAAACATAGCATTGAATTCTTTAAATGCACGAAAAAGCCTCTCAGACTTGTGGGGGTGTGGCGGGTTGCTTGGAGTTTCTTTGCACTGCGTATTTTTGTAGTAATTTGCAAGGCTATAGATGATTGCGGAGACTTTCCCAAAAAGAGTAGAAAAATAAAGCAAATTCTTTATAGACCTGTGGCCTCCAGCTCCCAAATCTGGAATAGACGCATTTGGATTTCGGAATTAGTGCCGACCCACATGTCGAGGGACTATGATTCTGCAGTGTCCACTGCGAACATTTTGCAAAGAAGTCGTTTGAATTTCACATCTAAAGACCGATTTTCGTGCCTGAGCCAAATTCTCTCCACGTTCAGCTGTTGCATATGGTAACAATCCACAAAAGTCGTTTTTTGTTTGGGGTGGTGAATGAGAAAGTAACGTTTTTTGCGGTTGGTTTTATTTCCTCTCAATACGTGATCGAGTTCGTGAAGGCAAATGTACCAACATCAGTAGTTTTGCGAATTGTTAGCAAGATGTCAACCTTTCCAGTAGAATTTACTGTAATTCAACAATAGCTTTAGAGTCTCAGAAAATACAATCAGCTTCAGGGTTTGGTTCCGGCAATGCTGTGGGACCTCTGATAATGTGACAGCGGTCAATGTAGTCAAACCTGCGATGGGTTATGCACTGAAATGGGACCTATTAAATGATATTGTGAACAACATTTACAGGAAATTGTATTTAAGTCGATTGATTTTAACATTGCTCATGGCCACTGTAGACAGTGCGGCTTTCCCTAACTGTAAAATATAAAGCTTTACTCTAATCTATGTACTTATTTCAAGCCTCTAAAATCTTGCGCCTTTTGCATAGACCGTTGGCGAACGGTATTGATTAATGCTCACTTGTCTTTTAATGTGTACACGTGTTGACACAAGATGTTCTACTGAATAAGTACGAGTAGAAATTCTATTTAAAACTTCCGATCCTTCATTTGGTGCTTTAGACCTTGGAGACACTGACTCGCCAATTTAGCCATCTCCTTTTAAAATTGCCATTTAACTTTAAACTACCGAACTATTCCTGCCCCCTTTTTGAAACCTTGGAACTTCCTTTTGAAGGTGATTAAGATACCCAAGTAAAATAAAGTTCATTCCAACTGATCTAGATTTAGCCTACATAGATTCAGAGGAAGCCAAATGTTTGCAATTGTAACGGAATTTTTTGCACTTAAATACAGATATCAGTTTGTCCTTGGATCAGTCCCTTCAAATGCAAAGATGGCACACAAACCAGTTTAAAAGCATCCATGCTGAAAAGTGAGATTTGTACGCCCCTTTTTGTTTCTCCTCTACTTCCAGCTACTAACCTGACAAAACACATGTAGGTCAGATTGGAGTTAAAAACACATTCAAGTTTTCTCCTTTTTTTCATTACTTTTACCTAACTTGTCTCCTTTTAAATGGCCTTGTAACAATGCGATTTTTAAGCAGCTACCTACAAATGTCATCCACTATTTGGAACCCCATACCAGCACAATCATCAATCTCATCTCCCGCAACGGATGCCCAACTTCTCCAAATCCCGTTTTTTTTATCAATCATCTTGTCTTCGGAGGAGGGGAGGAGGAGGAGGAGGGGACAAAAGCCCAGCTTTAGCCACCTCCTTTTATTTTTCAGTATTTTTGCCCATCATTTTTACTGACTGGTTGGCAAGTGATTGTGCGATACAAATGTCAAGAAAAGGTAGCTATCATAACCGTTGGGAATAATAATGAGGCTTGGGTAGCACCTCTCTCTCTCTCTCTCGCCTTACGTTCCATCTTCCTCCCACCCTTCTAACCCACCCGCCCTCCTAGGTTTAGCAACCCTTTTTCAGACAATCATATTCCAAATTAGAGGCAAAAAACACAAAATTCTCCAAAAAAGGTGGATTTAAAACCCCCAAGTCGTTGTTTAAATGCGGTGATGATATCACAGAGAGCAGGCCTAGCTCTACCGAAGGAACAAAAGCCACTAAATGATAGCATTGACAGGAGGCAGATGTAGATTTTGCAGTCGTAAATCAACTTTAATGCAATGCTTTTGGCTATGCAGACGGTTTTTCGGGATCAGGTAGGTGAAATCGTCGGAAGAGAGGTGACGGGTGTGGACGAGCAGTGGTGAAGATTGAGTGGAATGCGAAAGTCAAGAGAAGGACATAAGCATATAGCAAGCATAAATGTTTTGACATTTGTCATTAACTGTCAGAAATTTGTCTTTTGGGAAGAAGGAGAATTGACTGCAATGCATAAGCCGCACTTCGGTTGTAGAGGACTGAGAAGGGTCAGAACCACTATTGGGTCGCTCTTAACCTCTGGAAATGAGTGCCCATAAGGCTTGCAATCCAATAGAATGAGAAGCGATTTATAAGGGAAAAAGTGGTTGCCACAGTCATAGTCGTGAGACAGTTCTCCGATGGCTAAAAAACATCCAAATATCCAACTTACCGAGGGACCTGTGGACAATTCATTCTGTAGGTGTAAACTTATGGAGCAACAGGTGTTTAAAAATCCAAAACTATAAGTTAAATGAAACCAAGCCATGGCTTAAATATGTTTTATAACCTCAAATTCAGAGTGGCGATGCTTTGAGGAGTGCGGAAGGATCGAGAATGCTCGGGTCGGGGTAGCCGCAGAGCGGCGGGGGCGAGGAGAGGGAATGAGGCGTGGCCTAAGTCTGTCCCCTCTCCTCTAATGATGCCCAATTTAGAAAAGAAACATCACTTTACTAATTTATTTATTCTGTAATGACAATTTTTTGCCTAAAACAAAAGCTCCTACTTTTGTGTGTCCACTTTAGTTGCCTCGTCACAACGCCGATGTCTGATGGATGATGAGACTTATTTGACTTGAAGGTTTGCCTCTTCTCCTCCTCTATGGTGCAAGGGGTGATCATTAGTTTCTGTCAAGGCGATTTAAATCTTGTGGCGTTTATTTCACTTTTAGGGGCAAAAAAAAATAAGCCAAAAACACTCTCATCGTCTTGCGTCTTTTTCGTGCTTAAATTTTATGTAGTCTAATCAACGGCGAAGTGACAAATTAAAGTCCAGAGTTGGTCGACTTCGAACCACTCGTAGGGACAACACCTCCTCGCACTACTAGTGTAAACCTTTTTTCCCACTAATCATTTTGTAAAAGGCAAAAAATAATTGTGTTTTAAAGAAATTAGTAAAAATGTGAGAGGAAGGGGATCACATTTGCTGACAAATAGGGTTTTTAGGTGGAAGGACTGCTCGATTGGGTGCACACCTCCATGAATCATCATCGGATTTGCCTAAGTAACAACTTTTTAGTTATACAGGGGACTAAGAATGGGGGAGAATGGGAGGAGGAGGAGGACGAGGAGGAGGAGGAGGAAGAGGAGGAGGAGGAGGAGGAGGA